GGCGGGCAGGCGGAGCCGCGATCCCACGAGACCCGGGGACACCCTGCACGGAGGCGTGGCCCCGAGACCCTGCGCCGCATCGCGCGGATCTAGACCGAAAGCCGCCACATTTCTCAGCCGTCGCCACCCCAGCTTCTCCGGGTTCGAATTTAACCTGCAGGCACCGGAAAGACTACCCTGAGAAGGAGAGCATCTGCCCCTGAAGGTGGTAGGTTCTGCTTGGGAGCTTACAGGCACCGAGGACTGACCCAGCCTGCCTGGAGAGGACTGGCAAGCGCCTCAGAGCCCGGCAGGGAGCGGGCCGCCGTCGGGGCGCGGAGGTACCCGGACCCCTGTGAGCATCTGCACTGATTTCTTGAGCTGTCTGCTCATCCACCAGGTGTCCCAGGCCTTATCCCCAGCCCTCGTTGGGGCGAGTTTTTCTGTGCAAGTTTCTGATTCTGTTTTGCGAGATTCCCTTCTCCCTCCTGGAAAGTCTGGCAAAGAACTTCAGGTGCCAGACCTGAGCGCTAAAGACACACGGTCTCCGCAGAGAGGTGCGCCTGGATGAGGACAATGGCCGGGCTGGGATCTGAGCTGCCTTCCGGCCCTGTGGCCCCCATGCTCCTGTCATGGCTAACAGGACTAGGGGCTGGAGTGATCTTCCTGGGCTTCCTGCAGAAAATCCTGTACCCTTACTTCTGGGACGACTTCTGGTACCTGCTGAAAGTGGTCCGCTGTGGGTTACGGCTGGAGATGTACAGACTGAAAGGGGAGCTAGTCACTGTCCTGGATAAGTTCCTGATCCATGCCAAGAAGCAGCCCCACAAACCTTTCATCATCTACGAGGGAGACGTCTACACCTATCAGGACGTGGACAGAAGCAGTAACAGAGTGGCGCACGTCTTCCTGAACCATTCCACGCTGAAAAAGGGGGATACCGTGGCTCTGCTGATGAGCAATGAGCCCGACTTCATTCACGTGTGGTTCGGCCTGGCCAAGCTGGGCTGCGTGGTGGCCTTCCTCAATTCCAACGTTTGCTCAATCTCCCTCCTGCATTGCATCCTCAGTTGTGAGCCCAAGGCCCTCGTGGTGGGTGCAGGTAGAGTATGGGGTGTCGTCGGCTTGTGCGGAATGACAGCGCTGCCTCCCAACCCCCCTCCTCATTTTTTTGTTAGAACTGATTCACAGCTAGTACTCTGGGTGTGTGATGAAGTGTGCATGTTTAGAGTACAAAACGGTTTTACGGTTCTGTGGATGGCGGTTTAATACCCCTCTCCCACTTCAGTCACTTACTCTGTTGTATATTACTAATTACAGAGACTTTTCTGAAATCTCTGTTGCCTGTTATTTTAGTGGGGGTGGGGTGGGCATTTTACTGTTACGATATCTTCAGTGAGTACAAGAACACAGAGAGACAGCTTGGTTAAGTTCTAAATGTTGTCAGACCTCACAAAATTATTTAATGAAGAAGAAAGTGATCCTGATTTCACTGTGGAATACCCACCACCTCTAATAGTAACACTGTCAAGGTTGACTGCGTTTGCAGGACAAGCATGTTTGATTAGAAGTGCGTGAATTCCTGTCTCATGTCTGCTCTTATTTTGCTCTGCCTACAAGCTAGGATTTGCCTGGCCAGGTTGGGCTCCCACTTTGCAGCCAGTGACGGGCTCTTGGCTGACTCTAGGCCTCTTTCTCTCCCTTCTCCCACCCCCATCTGTGCATCATTTTCTTTCTTTCAGTGAGTACTAGCCGTCTGCCCCTTCCCCTTGGATTTAGGCTTTGGATACATATACTGACCATGAACTACAAAGAAAAGTCTTTGGTTGAGTGCCAAGCTGATGAAGAACCTAGGAAGATGGGTTGCCTAACAAAGTGGAATAGAAGTAGGAACAATGATACATATTTGGTATAATCTAAATGGTTTCTACGTATGCCTCCTGCATGGGGGTAGGAAAGTGGAGGATGAGGAGGATCGTGGCAAGGACCTTAGTAAAAATATTCAAGTATTTTAAGTTAATAGATATCTACTGATACTTCATATAGAATTTTTAGGGGAAAAAATCACATTTATATGCCAGTGAGCTCTGAAGTATAGCACTTTCCAAGTAACTTTCATTGTGTGATAGTTGCACATCACATGGAAATGAGTTAGGCAATATATGGTAGAAAAGGTTAGTTGTTCAAGGCTTGCACTTGGGCTTGTTCGGGTTGTCCTTCCAGCTCGATATGTGACCTGATACAGTAGCAAAGCATTTACTCTTAAGCACTGATTTTATCTTAAATTACAGGAGTAGAGAAGCCAGGTAGTCTCGCTTGTGTATTTTTTTGTTCTTTTTTCTTTTCATTCAACAGTCATATCCTCCAAGATTGAAATTGAGCTCCTCACCTCGGAGAGAGGTTAACCAGTATGACAACATATCTTTGAACTCTGGCCATCAGTAGGATAAATGAGTTACACAGGGTTTTGATAATATGGTGGAGCAATATTTACCTCTTGTTCAGGGGCAGGTGACAATGTGGATGCAAAAGGGAAAAACATCACACTTTGTCTCTGGATATATTCTGACATTCATTTTGCTCAATCTAATTTAGATTGTAGTTTCTGGAGCAAATCTAAACCTTAAATTGTGCTAAAAATTGGTAAAGCCATACATTTCCTTTAGAAGAGCAAACTAAGAGGGCCATTATATCCCTGAAAAGATTTCCGGAGCCATGATGTTGAGGCCAACCTGAGAAACATCCCATATCCTGCCTCTTGGGGGTCTCCTCTTGAAGTACATAGGGCTGGTTACCTCTCAAGAGTTTTCAAACTTTGCTGTTGCCTAATTAGCACTGATTAATCTGCAGTTCCACTTGTGCCAGGTTTGCTTTGCTTGTCAATAACTAATTGCCTTGTTTCCTTGTTTTTGTTTTTACCACCGACAGTCAGTTTTTGTATATAAAAGCCACTTTGGGACACTACAGTTTTAAGCCAAAAACATTTAATTGGTTTGCTCAGAAAGTAGGTACCTGGAGAAACCAACTTTAACTCTTACTAACAGTTCTTTCTAGCGTGCCTCCAAAATATATAAATTACATGTATTTTTCACATTTTTCTATTTCAATTAATTAATAGATTTTTTTTTTGCAAGTCATGACTTATATATCACAGTCACTTTTCTCTACTTGAAGTTCTTACCCTGAAAATGATATTCTTGGCATCTTGAGTCTAATTCATGAACTATATATATGTATGTAGTTAGAATATGTACACATATAATACATACATATAGTTAGAACTTTACATTTCCGAAGTC